AAAATATAAATACTAATCTAACATTCAGATTAGAAAAACAAGTATACTTCTGGCATAAATTCAGCTATTTGTATAACATTACAACACACAAAATTCACACATATACATTATATATAAATAAATGAGAGGGTTTGACCTTAATGTCTAGACTAGCTGGCTATATAGAGTAATCATTAATCAAATATTCATTAACAGAGTAAAAACCGTATTATAAAAGAGATTTTTATCGCAGATTTAAATTTTGTCCTGTCAAGATTTCTTGTCTTCTCAATTTATTATAAAGTTTAATATTGGGGGAATTCCTATCCGATTTATCTAGACGATATCGAGGCTCAAGTAAAATGTATTTTGTTCTTGTATTGTAAGTATGGAAATCCGAACTGGTTGTGAATATGTCTTTATGTTTATGAATGTGAAGAAGAGTACGATAGATATATAATGAAGGCACTGTCATGATACCATACCTGACAAATAGCGGACGGCAATGATCTCTGTATTCAGCATTAGCCATAACTCTCAGCGCTCTTTTCTGTATACCTAATAAACACTTTACTGGCGTGCGTTGAATTTCCCCACAACATGACACCATAATATAAAGAACGACCACAGAATAAGTGAGAAATGTTAAAATTGTTGATACCGGTACATGACAACAAGTTTCTGGATACCTTCGAAAGCTTGGAAATCGAAAAGTGTGAAATGAGTTCTATGAATAGCGGCAAAGGTCCTACTTAGAAAAGCCCGTTGTTTGGTATTATACGTAATAATTCTAAATGAAAAAGAGGTATTAAAAAAAGGTAGTTCAGCATAGGAACAATAACAGATAGATAGGTGATAATAGTTTGGTCACTAGCATAGTACTAAAATTTAGTCATAATGATCTCCTGAGGACGCAAACTTGGTTAGCCAAACGCGCGTCGAGAGACCGTAATTTTGTTCTGGTGTTGGCAAAGTGTTAGAGTCTGTCAAAATTCAAGTTCGTGTTCCATCGACGTCAGTCGAACGAGACATTTTCCTAATTCAACTGATTATCGCGGAATCGAATATCCTTTTGTAAATATTTTGTTTCGCGAACGCGTGAAGGACGAGAACATTAAGCGATCCGAATTCGTGAGGACTTGTCAATATTATTGTGAATGAAAAAACATGGCTCGTCGACAGAAGCATGGATGGTACACGAGGGATTTACGTCTTCGAATAAATATTTTGAAAAAACACTGCGTGATCAGTAGTATGCTTACATGGTCGTAGTAAACTCCAGCAAACCTATTTTCCAAGCTTTTTGAGTTTGGCCGTTTTTTCTTCCTGACATTCAATTCACGCACACTAGCATTATTTTACTCGAAAGTTCATAACAGTGTTTCATGATAAATTATTCTAGTTCGGAATTCCATTTATAATTCTGATATAATTCGAAATCTAGGAAAGAACAAATAAAATTAGAATGAATAGCTGAAATATCAAGCAATAAAATGTAATACCCATCGAAAGCAATGTACCTAGATAATATAAATTCCAACTTCGTTAGGAAACAGATTTCTTCAAATTAGATTTTTTAAACGCCGGATCTGTCTCTCATGAATGTAAATTACGGCAGGACCGAGAGTGTTTATTTAAACAATATTCATCGGAGTGTTTTGAAAAGTCAGATTTATTTGTCACGTAGCTCAAGATGTAATTACGTGCATATCAATATCCCAGCATTGAAAGTTTTGTCAACTCATCGAAATATGTTTTCTGATGGCCTACGTTGCACGTGGACGACGGTTACGAAGAACGATTTGAGAAACAGGAGGGGGGACGAAGCACTCGTGATTTCTTCCTGGTTTTTGAAAGGAAAAATTATGAAGAGTTATGGAAGCTCTTCGCCTGAGGCAGCGGTCTTTAGAGTGGTGCGAAAATTTTTTTTTCGGGAAGTAAGTCTTCGTGAATTTTGAGGAGGTTCGAAAATTTGGGAGTTTGGAGGGTTCTCTTGACGGTCGATTGAGAGCAGTATTTTGTTTTGGGAGTTAGTTTTTCTGGGTGGAATCTTTAATTTTTCATATTCTTCGAAAACAGGCGATTATTTTATTTCAAAATCTACCATAGTAACCTCTTGAAAGGAAGTGTCTGCAAATGTTTTAAGATCTTTTTTCTCTGCAACTAAAGACCTCCTCCTATTGCAGGAGGCGAAATTCAAACCTCTTTCGGACTTGCCTAACATCCAAAATTTGAGTGGAGAAATTCGCATCTGGTGACAGCAGCTGCCAAATTTTATTTGGATAAAACAAATACGGCAATAGCTTAAGGGTTACCAAGGGTTGATAGACAGATAATGACGTATTAATTTACTGGTGACTCGGCTATAAACCCGTAGATGTTTCAGTGGGATATGTTTATATAATAGTAGTAAAACCGTTCCGGATTTACTACAAAAACGTGAAATGAACATAAAATAAAACCAATAAAACAATCAGGATTAAAGATGAAAATTACCTCAGAGTAAAAAAAATCAAAATGAAATAGTCAAAAATTGAAAAAAAGAGAGAAGCTTCCAAACCATGTTACTTCACGACGTTTCGATTGTTAGTATCTTCTTTTTCAGGTGATGACTATTCCACCGAGAGATGACTATTTATACTCATAGGTTACCTATCCCCCCTTCTCTCTCTCCGTCCCCCCTTCTCTCTCTCCGCTTCACCAGTTCACAGGTTTCCATATGATGCGTGTCTCTAAGCTGGCTTAGCTGAATGCATCGTTGAACATATAAGCAGCTTCTTTGAACTTCCTCTTAAACCAGTGTTCCTCCTTGTAGATGCTCTTAGCATGAGACCACTTGATGTCCAAACATGCTCTGCTAGTCCAGATTTGCTGGTTCCTCCTCGCTGTGTGTTCTTGGAATCGCAGTCCGCGTTTGGTGGCCTGGTTTTCGTGAGGTTGCTACCAATAGTGTTTCCGGATCTGAAGCATATTCTGATGTTGTACTTGGATCCAAGGCGATGGTGGAACAGACTTTGGCAAAAAGACAGCAAGAGCCTAGCAAGGAAGAGAAGCCATCACAACCAGTGCTTGCACTTCCCTACGTCAGAGGAGTATCGGAACGGAAAAGAAGAATTGGGTCCAAGTACAACATCAGAATCTGCTTCAGATACGGAAACACTATCCGTAGCAGCCTCACGAAAACCAGACCACTAAACGCGGACTGCGATTCCAAGAATGTCATTTACCTGATACCCTGTGTGTGCCAATCACAAGAAACATACACAGCCGAGGGAAACAAGCAAATCCGGAATAGCAGTGCATTTTTGGACCCAACATACACAGGGAGGAACACTGGAGGAAATTCGCCAAGCTAAACCGTTGAAGCGAAAAGAGGAGATAAATGAAAGTATAGTCCAGTCGTCACCTGAATATAATTGTGGATACTAACACCGAAACGTAACTTGCAATCTCTTAATATTTTTTGTCGAATTGTTCTATTTTTTACTTGTATTTTATTTCACCTAATATAGGTAATTGTTATTTTCAGCTATTTCAAATAATTTTATGTGTAATGAGACAATGGACGTCCAAGCTAATGAAATTCATTGATGGTGGTTGGGTTTATGATTTAGATACTGTCCCGTGTGAGTGTCGGTCCTCTTCACCAATACGTCTAAGAATGGCAATTTGTTATGGACTCCATTCTCTATCGTGAAGGAGAGATTTTACGCTGTTAAT